CTTCCTGCTTTTGTGGTTCTAAGCCATGAAATCTCTGTTATAAATCTGTGACATGTGAATCCTGATTGATTAGGAGAACATGGGAATCAGAGTTTCAGCGAACTTTGTACTTCCTGCCTTTGAGTAAAGGCCTCCTTATGGCCATTCAAAACTTGACAAGATGTAAGTCAGAAATCAAAACATGGAAAACCATTCATTCTCTGGGCACTGTACACCAAGCTGTGTGGCGAGGCACTGAGGTGTGAAGATGAATAAGACAGAGTCCCCAGTCTGAAATAACCTGAAGCTACTGGACAAAGTTGAGATCAAAACAGATTATAATGCAACGACTGAAATTAGATAGTTTTAGGTTTCTGCAAAAGACTTACAGTGATTTCTAAAGGTAACATGGGAGACAGCCTGCATGGGAATGGAAATCAGGGAATAAAAGAGGACAAAGTATTTTGGGCAGAGAGTACATTAAGTACAGAATACTTACCAGATTAATTTCTTTTTATCTCTATTTTAGGTACAATGTTTTATTGTCTTTGTCAGATTATACATCATTTCCTTCTTTAAACTGCAGGCCCTTCTAGAGAAACTGCCATTTAGTCTACTTTTGTATTCTAGTAGCTATCACAGTACCTGGCACACAAAAGACCCTCAATAAACATTTATAAATTGGACCAAGAATTATTTCTTACAAAGTAAGAAATTTTATGAAGCCAAGAGTTTACTATTAAAAAAAATAGTAAGGACTACTATTTAAAAAGGAAAGGAATAAACAAGTTGATTCCATAGAACATTTCACCCAACAGGCCCAGAACAAATTTAATTATACTTAGAGGAAACCCAGAACTTCATCATCCCTGGTTCCTCCACCTATCTGGGCCAGTTTTCCCTTTTTGCCCCAGTCTACTAAATAAACATTACCAGTATCTATGGAAGCCATGAAGTGAATACATTTAGAAATGATGGTACTAAGACACTTGTGGTAGTTTCCATTACAAGCTCACTACTTTGCATCAGAGCAGAAAATACAGAGTAGATCACAGATGTAAGAGAAAGATAAGATGATGAACCACCATTGGTTGAAGACAGCCTGACCAACAGATGGACACACCATAAAGATAAATTCTTACAGAGGGCAAAAATATTGCAAACTATACTGAAGTGATTAAGCGATTAAGTGATTAAGTGATTAAACCCTTCATGTTTCATGGGCGATTTTGGCAATGTTGTGCTAGTTTAATTTAGTTTAGTTATCATGAGTACTGCAGGCAGTCAGAGAACCCCAACAATGGAGTCTAGGGTCAGATAAAAAAAGAAAAGAGCCCGCCCAGTTAAGAGCCAATTCCAGTAGATAAGCCAAATTTAGAGATGCAAAAGTATTCACAAGAGGAAGGATAAAAGCTACAATAAAAAGAAAGATAAGGACTTTTCCTCCCAGGAAGAAGATCCTAAGTTAACTGACAATTCCTTTCTGCTTCCTGACCTGGACTTCAAGTGGATTCTAGAAAACATTAGAATTGCAAGACAACGAATTTCTTTTTGAACAATTTTGAACTATCTCCTCTGAAACACTCCCTCTCCGCACTCTCCCTATCTATCTATATGAGGCAAACACAAAGAAAATGCATTCACTTCTTGGCGAGTATCCACCAAGAGCTTTTTTCTTGTAATTATTTCTAATTAATTATTTCTAATACTCTCCTAAATTCCCCCTTTTGTCCTCAAATTTATTCTTCAATTTTGGAAAAGAACTCAGGTTTATACAAAATTAACTGTGTTGGTAATGAACCACTGTTTCTTACAACAGTGACCTCAAGCTTGCCTTTTTGAATTGCTGCTGGCTTTTTTTTCTCTCTCATGCTACTACTTTATTGCTGCTTCCTAGAATCATCTCCAAATATATAACCTGTAATCAAGGCCTAGTCTCAGGCTCTGCTTTTACAGCAACCTTGCCATGAGAAAAGATGTGGTATTTAAATTAACTTTTGAATAATTATAAATTGTCTGCAAGTCATAACAAGGGAATAGGCATAACTGCTGAACATTTCAATGCACAATGGTGCAAGATAATAATCATAAAACTACCTAAATCAGGAAGAAGAGGAAACTCCATCAAAGAGCATTCTCTTATCATTAAGAGCGTCCACTGGTTTCTTAAGGACAAGAAAGTGGGGGAAAAAAATCATAATACCACAATCCAACATTTTTATTTTGTTGCATATGTTCATAAATACAATTTTGCATCATAGAGCATGTGATATAGATTATGTAAATTTTCAGCTAAAATATTTGAGAGCTTCCTAAAAACCCTAGTTCAAGGTTTCTTCTTAGATATCATCAACTGAGTTCAATTTCTCAACTTTAGCTAATATTGCAGATAGGATTTTCTACTCAGAGCAAGTAAAGCTGGGAACAATATCTGAAAAATTCTGTGAGAATTTATAAATGAAGGATTGATCGATCTTTTAATATAGTTACCCCTCCTTGGGTACATTTAGACATTAAATCATGAAAGTAAACATATTACCCAGGAGGTCTGAAGACAAAGAAGTTACAGATCCAAGTATGAGCTATGGAAACTCATTGACTGGATCACCGCTTATAAGGAATTCCTGAAATGTGTTCAAATTAGAATGCCCTTGAAGACTCAAAACTTTGACTCACATAAATATGTGCAAAGTTTGAATCAAGAAATAAATGGAAGCTGGGTGTTGTGGCACACACCTGTACTTCCAGCACTCTGAGAGGCTGAGGCAAGAGGATCGCAAGTTTAAGCCCACCTGGGCAACTCAGTGAGAACTTTTTAAAATTTTTTTTTAAAGGTGGGGGATGTGGGAAGACCCTGGATTTAATTTGAGTGTAGTACTGGAAATAAAAGAAAGAGAGGGAGAGAAGGAGGGATGGAAGAAGGAAAGAAGGAAGAGGGAAGTACAACCACACCTGTAAGAACCATTTGTCTGCTCACTTATTACTTGCTGCTATTTACCCTGTTATTCTTTAGATCTACATGTTCCCTCCAAAGCCTTTTGCACTAATAGGTTGGACTTTTGGGAAGTGACTGGATCCTGGATCCCTGATACTCATCAGTGGATTAGTCCACCAATTAATTGAGAGCTAAATGTGATGTTGGGAGGTGAAACCTGGTCAAAAGAGGCAGGTTATTGGGGCATGGCCCAGAAGAGTATATCTCTTCACTCCCCTACTCCCTTCAGTCTCTCTCCTTTTGCTCCCTCTCCACCTAGCCCATGTGAGCAGCTCCCCTCTCCAAAGTCCCTCTGCCATGCAGTCCTGCCTGGGAGCCAGCAAACTATGGTCTGAAACATGAGCCAAGATAAACTTTTCCTTCTTCGTGTTGCAGGCATCAGGTATTGTGTCCAAAGCAAAGAGGAAAGTGACTAAGATACCACCAAAACGTTAACCAGACTCCAAAATCACCTTACACATTTTCCACAACCCTGAAGGAACAGCAATCCTTGGATAAGAAGGACTAGTAAAGTGTTTCCAACACGTCTTTGTAGATTTTGTCTGTACTATATACTACTAAGGCATCAACTGATGTTTCTTCGTTCAAGTTTTCCCCACCATTCAGAAAGCAACAATAGTCTCTTCTCAGCCCACCCTTCAAGGGAAGACTTTCTACAGCAGAGAAGAATGATAATTCTTGGTTTTGTAATCTGGAATAGACTCCAGACTCTCATAACAGAGAAACAATCTCGAATGCTGCTTTAGTTGTCTACAGCATTCATTACCGAATGAATTACAGGCTGGTGGTTTAAACAACATAAAGTATTTCTCATGGTTCTGGGGCTAGAAGTCCAAGATAAAAGTGTCAGAAGGTTTGGTTTCTTCTGAGGAGTCTTGGCTCGTAGATGGCATTTTGTACTGTGTCCTCTGTTTCCCTCTCACTGTCTCCACACATGGTCGCTTCCTGTGCATCTCTGTTGTATCTTTGTGTCCAAATTTCCTCTTCTAAGAACATCAGTCATACTGGATTCAGCCCACCATAAACCCTCATTTTAATTTGATCACCTCTTTAAAGACCCTATCTCCAAGTACAATCCCATTCTGAAATACAAAGGGTTACGGTTTCAACGTATGAATTTCAGAGGGACACAATTCAATCTATAACATTTGATTTTCAAGTTTAGGCTTTCTAAAAGAAAATAAAACTAATTTTTAAAAATTTCAAAGTTCATCTCAAAATACAGAGTACAATATTGCTGGTAAAGTTACCAGATTTAGCAACAATTTTAGTAAAATTCATAATGTCAATTGAAATTTGAATTTCCAATAAAAAACAAGTAATTTTTTAGTATTAACATGTCCCATGAAATATTTGGGACATTCAAATATAATTGGGTATTCTGTATTTTTTCTGGCCATATTAGTTTCAGGAAAAGGAGATGGAGCACACAATAATGAGCTTTTTAAATGAGTCACATTCTGTCTCATTGCAAAGATGACCACCATATGGCCAGGGTGGTCAAAGGCAACCAAAACCACCAGGGATGCTCTTGTTCAGGAAGAGCCATGTGTGCAGATGCCATTAACTAAGACCAAAGTCTTCTCCCTAGAATCACCGACAACATGTTCTGAACTCTTCTGCAATTTGTAAGTTCCACGCTTTAAAAAGGACAGCAAAACACAAAGGAAAGTATTATGAAGTGACTGCCAAACAAGAAAAAAAAAAACCCAAAAAAGAAAAAAGAAAAATACAGACACAAAAACACAGTAAAATTTCTAAGTACACCTGCAGGTGTGGGCCAGGCACGGAGGTTTGGGGCCCAGCGCTCAGGTGAGGGCAGAACGCAGGTTTGGGACCCAGTGATGGCGGGGCGGGGGGCGCAGGTGCGGGACCCAGCGCTCAGAAGGGGAGTAGGCCTGCAGGTGTGGGCCTGGCACTCAGATTTGGGGCCCAGCGCTCAGGTCCGGGTGGGAGCGTGGGCGGGTTTGGGCCCAGCGCGCAGGTGCGAGCCGGCAGCGCTGGGCCGGGCCAGTGCGCAGGGGCGGAGCGCGAGGCCCCGCCCCGCGCCGCGTCGGGCCGGGTCTCGCCCCGTGGCGTCCCTCCCGTGAGTTCCTCGTAAGCTCGCTGGCTGAGGCGCTGGGTGGTGCTCCTGCGCCGCCATGGCGCAACATTTCTCCCTGGCCGCCTGTGACGTGGTTGGCTTCGACCTGGACCACACTCTGTGCCGTTACAATCTGCCTGAGAGCGCCCCGGTGAGTGGGTGAGTGGGTGAGTGGCGCCCGGCACGCAGGGCCATAGCGGCCGACGGGGAACCTCAGCTGGGCGCCGCACCTGTGAAGAACTCCGCCCTCCGCGGTCGGGCGGAAGTACGCACCCCCGGCCTTTTCGGCTGCGCCTGCGAGTTGGGCGCCCCCGGGCGTCTCGGCTGAAGCTAGTGCGGGAGGCGCGGGAAGGAGAAGGGGCGCGGGAGAGACGGGTGGAACCGTTGGGTCGGGAAACGGGTTTTAGGCAGGGCAAGAGTGGGCTCGGAGAGAGTCGCGGTCGCCAGCAGAGAAGGGAGAGTGGGCAGCGGAAGCGGCGGCGGCGGCGGCGGGCGGCGCTGGGACCTGGGGGCGGCCAGAGAACAAGGGAGCTGGCGCCGCTGCCGGGTTCCCAGCGCTGCTGAGCCGCTGGGCCGCGCCGAGCGCCGTAGCCGTCAGCCGGCGTCCGAGAGGCCCGGCTCGGCCGCCCGAGCAGGCCGCGCGTCGGCCGTCGGGCCCGAGGCCGGAGACATGGGCTAGACCAAGATCATCTACCACCTGGACGGGCAAGAGACGCCGTACCTGGTGAAGCTGCCCCTGCCCGCCGAGCGGGTCACCCTGGGGGACTTTAAGGGCGTGCTGCAACGACCCAGCTACAAGTTCTTCAAGTCTCTGAACGAAGACTTCGGGTGAGGGTGTCCCCCGCCCCGCCCCGCCCCGCCCCGCCCCCGGGAGCCCCGGCAGCCCCGGCCTCGGCCCCGCTCCTAGCACCTCCCTCGCTGCGCTAGCGTCTCCCCTCCTCTCAGGGCCGCGCGGCCCTGGTGCCCCCTTCCCAGGGCTTCCTTGGGAGCAGGGGTTCCAGCCCCTCTAGGGACTCTACGTTCACCTCCTACTGCCCCCTGGTTTTGGAGGACTGGGGCTCCCCCAGTCCTCAATCAGAGTTTCTCCCAGGCGAGCCCCCTCCTCCTCCCTTCCCCGGGACAGGGGCCCACATAGACAGACACACCCCCTCCACCCTGTCCCCAACCCTCCTCCCGAGGAGCCACCTTTTCTCACCGTAGACTTGGGGTGTTTGGCACGGGTCTGCTGCACAACTCAGCCATATTTGGAGCGTCGTGCATCTGAAGGCTGTGCTCTGGGACTTTGAACAGAGGGAGGGGAAGTTGGGGTGCCCCACGCCAGGCTGGGAGCGAGGACCTGCAGACTTGGTGTTTATTTAGCTGTCGCCCCTTTTCCCTGTGGGCTGATCGCGGTGTTGTCAAGGGAGCAGAACGTCCGACTCTGAGAGTCCCCACTAACCCAGGTGCTGATTTCCCTTCCGAAGTGGGAAATTATCTCTCCAGATAATGGCCCAGGGGGAGACGTAGGAAAGAACCATCAATACTGGATGAGGCCGGCCAGGAAGAGTCTCTTGATGTTGTCCATTTTCCCCATCCCTAGTGGGGTCTTCCCTTCCACCCAGCTATAAGGCGTGTTGGAAGCAGCCACTGCCCCTTTAAGAGGGGTTGGAATGCTGGAGCCAGAAGGTTCTGTAGCAGCTGGCCTGGGAGGGGGAGCCTGGCTGATCCCCTCAAACACACCCCCAACTCCCAAGGGACTGGGGGAGCGGAGGCCCCCACACTGCCTGCCCTACACTGACTGGGCGCTGGGCCTGGAGGCCGTGGTGGGGAAAGGCCTTGCTGGTTCCTCCAGGCCTGCAGGCGGCCAGCCGCTCCAGCCTAGCCTGAGGCCTGCCCTGTTTTTTGCAGCTGAGGCCCCAGAGATGGGAGGGGAGACCTTCTCTTCCCAGTGTTCATCAGTCTGGCTTTTTTTCCAAGACCCCAGCCCTCCTGGCCCCAGGAGGCAAGCACCTTCTGTCTTCTGCCTAGCATGTTTGCTGTCACCTTCTGTCTGGCACTCAGCATGGATGAGCCCATGAAGTCGTGTTTGTGAAAGTGCTTTGTACAGCAGGGAGTGCTACTTTAGGTGGATCCTCGGTACTCTTGATGCTGTTGTTGTTCCTGGCCTGGAGTGCAGACTCCTAGGATGGTGATGATTGTCTGGTGTCAGTGCCTGATTGGAAGATTCTCAGGAGCATCCATCTCGAAGAGGGGTGGGTGCTTCTGTCTGGCAAGAGAAAATAGGGTGGGAAGGGACCAAGAGACTGCCTCAGGAAATGGGCTAGGGGAAAATCAGCTACACTGAGGGGCGAGGATATGCCGGTGCCTGTGTCTGTCTGTGTCCATCCCCCACCTTGCTTCTGCCTCCTAAGCAGACCTCCCAGGGCCCCTCCCACTCTCGAAGGTGGCTATTGAGTTAAGCCTAACTACAGTTATAAGAAAGCCCCCATTACATCCACTTACTGTTTACTTAATATATTTTTTAACTCTACTGTCTACTCATTTTTTTTTTTAAATTTTAACTCAACTAATATGAAATCAACCCTGGGTCTGATTTTTTTATTTATATTTCTTTCTAAAATATGTTATAATGCCAGGCACTGTGATACATGTCTATAATCTCAGCTACTCCAGAGGCTGAGGCAGGAGAATCTAAAATTTGAGGCCAGCCTGGGCATCTTGGTGAGACCCTGCCTCAAAATAAAAAAATAAAAGAGTCTGGGGATGTGTAGCTTAGTGGTAGAGCACTTGCTTACATGCCCAAGACCCTGGGTTCAATCCCTACTATAAATAAATAAAAAATGTTACAAGTAAAAAAAAAAAAAAGAGTGGGCTGGGAGCACTGACAGTGTCTTCTCTGGTTTTTGCAAGTCCTTATGGGGACCATCTGGGAGTAGATGTGGCCTCCCAGTCTGGGCCTTGGAGTTTCTGTGGTTGTGGTTTCCTTTTGCCCTGTGCAATCGACTGCATGTCACTTATTAAGCACACACCGAGTTTAAGCACTGCATTCAGGAAGAGACTGGTGTATTTGGCCGAAAATGCCATGAAGATTTTAGCCCTAATTTTGCCTTTACAATGAAAATAAAATAAACATTTATTGCCTGCTCACTAGTTGCTCCATGCACTTTGGATATATCCTAATCCTAACAGCCTTCTCAGCCTCACTGCTCCCTGTGCGTGGAGAGGGTGAAGTACATGACTAGACAAGGTTAATTGACCTGCCCAACTTTCTTGGATTCCACGCAACTCAATGTGAAGAATTAATCGGCTGTTAATAGTGAAAAATGTAAGCATCCAAAAAGAGAGTTGATTGTGAGTGCATCTGTCAGGGAGAGGACTCAAGCCAGACCCCTAGCTCAGGACGCCAGCTCCACCAGCACTCTGTGACTTTGGACAGGTTACTTAACCTGTGTTCCTTCTCGGTTTCTGTAAAATGGGGCAAATAATTGAATTTACCTCAAAAGAATATGGTAAGGAGTAAGTGGGCAATAGCTACATAATACTTAGAGCAGTGAAACAGTATGTGGTAAAACCGAGTGTTTTTCTTTCATGGTTTCCACCCAATCCATTTGGAAAGCTCCTCATTTATGGGTAGAACTCCAGGTCACTGGGGCAGACAGTGGTCACGGCTGCTCATTATAGTCATGTCAGTGCCCTGGTCGGTTCGGGTCCTCCAAAGTAAACCTTGAGTGGCTACTGGAATTACTTGTTCATTTTCTGTGCACAGATCCTTAAAAATAAAGTGGTTTTCCTGCTCTGTACTTTTCTGCTTTCCATTTATGCATGTTTAGTTTCCTTAGTCATATTAAGAGTGAGAAGGCTTTTATTACTTGATTCTTTGCCACTCCTTCCTGTAAGTCTTTGATTCCTATTTTCCTTCTTTCTGTGCCTTTCAGATCCCCACTATGTGGTTCACGCTTTTGTGCACTTTCTCTGTACCCATTTTTATTTGCAGGGAATGTTGTTAAAACACTGTCACATTAGAGCCAATTTGTGCAGGTGTGAGCATAAAATTTCAGACTATAAGATACTCAAAGACAAGGTACTCTTGCCTACAAGCCTTGAATATAAGTGATGTTGAAAGGCTGGAAACACCAATCTAGTGAGTTTTGGATTGTGTTTGGGGCAGCGACCTTTTATTAAGCTCCACAGTGTGCTGAGCACCAATATAGAGCAGGGGATGCCGAGGTAAACAACAGCACATGTTCAGTATGCAGTGGAAGGTAGCCTGATGGAATAGGGGAAAGTTGGCAGAAAGTTCAGTCCCCCATGTTAAATACTGTTCCCTAACCCCTCTTACCCACAAAGTTTACCTCTTTACCTCAGTCCCATCTTCATTTGCCATAAAATCTTATTTCCAGCCCTTTTCTTACAGCTTTAACACTTCCAGCTTATTTGTTAGAATCTTCCTGTGGAGTCTAGCAACAGTTTAGTCTGTGTTCTGTGTACCTAGCCTAGTTCTGCACACACTGAGTCAATAGATAAGTGTAGAATTGGATAAGTAATAAGCATTTTAATACGTGGATATGATGCAGCTACTGCGTAAGCATTCTGCTTATGTGACTTGATTTAATCCTTATCCCTGGAGGAGGGTATTGTCACCACTGTCAGTATGTAGAGATGAGAACCACAAGGCACAGACAGATTAAGTGTCTTCTCCAGGGCACCCAGCAAGGGTGTCTGGCTGCAGGTTTCTGCCTTTCACCACTGTGCTGTCTGCAGAGTGCCAAGCACAGAAGAGAGGCCTGGAGCAGGTCGGCGCAGTGGGCTTGGCAGGTGAGGAGGTGCGGAAGCATTCTTCAGGCAGAGGAAACACAACAAAGGCAAAGACCCAATGAGGAGCAGAGGCACGAGCTGCCAGATGGTGTTCAGAATGTGGGGAGCAGCAGGGAAGATTCTGTACTATTGCCCATAGTATTTTGTGTTTCGGTGCATCTTGATATCTTTTGTTTTTAATGATTGAGTGAAAATCCATAAAATATGTAAACCAGGGATTTTCTGACATCCTTGGGTTAAGGAATTCCACAGGTGCCCCACTTGGGCCCCTCCTTCCACTGTAGGCTTAGAATCTCTAGTGGTTGAAGAAGTAGTAACTGTGTTGCTCACCAGCCTGCAGGGATGAAAATCACTGACCTATAGTGCTGACACAATGCAGGTGTAGTGGTTGACCTGGATTGGGATTCACACTGGTCTGCATGGGGGTACACTTGTAGTGATTTTTATTAGCTTTAGGTCAGAGCAGCTCTACTTGACAGGGGCCTTTGGTTTCTCTACTCTCATTTCCTAACAGCCCAAACCCCTCTTACCAGCTGTGTGCAGGCCCTTCAGTTATGCACCTGGCTTCCTCTCCATTTCCTTCAGACTCACTCAACTCACAGCTACATCTTACAGGTGGAGTGTAAATGTCACCACCCATCAGGGTCTTCCCCAGTCCTCTTTTGCATGATACCCTGGCCCCTCATAATGTGCTGTACTGTCATACCCTGTCATGGGTTAACATCTATAGAAGGTCCAGTGTGTACTTTTGGGCACTGACCCCAGGCCACTGCCCTGCCTGGGGTCTGAGGACATCTGATGCTGGCCTCAAGCACTCTTCTGAGGCCGAGGGAGGTAGAGTCTATGTGGACCATCATCCACTTTTTTGTCCATTTTTTCTTAGGTGTCCACTGTTTCTTAGAAAATTAAAACCAGCTCTTTAAAAAGAACAACAGATATTTCACTCAAAACCTAGGATTTTTTTATTTTTGAGAAATCAGAAGATTTGTTCAGTAGTCACAGCATTTATCATGTTTGCTTCCAAAGGCTTCTGTTACAACTTGTGTCTAGATATCCCCCCAAAGCCTCATGTGGTCAGAGGTGGGGAAGGTGACTGGATCTATAGAGTGTGTGAAGCTGGAATTGATTCATGGTGCAATGCTCAGCTCAAGGACACTAGAATAAAGGGTGTAGGTGCTACCCACCATAAGTAGTCTGAGTAAGATTAAAGGGGCAGAAAGATGCTGTTAAGGTCCCTTGTTGCTTTTGCTGTCTTCCTTCTCTATGAACTGTTGACCCTCTGCCATGCCTCCCTGCCTTGGCGCCAGCCGATTATTGACTGAAACCTCTACAAACTGTGAGGTAAATAAACCTTTTCCCCTTTACCTTTGGCTGTTGGGAATTTTGTCCTCAGCAATAAGAGAAAAGTAACTAACACAGCTTCCCTTGTCCTTTTCCCTTAATTTTCTTTTGGTGGAGAAATAGGAGAGATTTCCTGTATCTAATACAGTATTCATGATTCCTCCTTTAAATCATCTTCCAGTCCCCAGGTACATTTCCCCCGAGGCTCCTCTGAGAAGGGACCTTTCCTACAAGGGTGGACCAAGGACACATGTAAAGATAGAGTGGTCAATGTGCTTATTGTATGGAGATGTGTAAAATAAGTTAGCTTTGTCAGGGCTTCATTATGATCTCAAATCCATTAGAATTCAAGACTAGATAAGTAACTGTCCTTGGTGGTATAATTATATACTGATGGTATAATTTGGGGTAGGAGAATTACCTGGAGCTTGCAGGAGTTGATAAATTGCTTGTGAAAGGGGATTAAACTGCAGCACTTCACAATTATAGATATTTTCCTCCCACCAGCCCCATTGGTGATTCCATTAAGTTTTCAGGTCTGAGAAATTAAGAATGAACTGTGAATTGTATATTTAATCTTTTTTTTCCTTCCTCTACTTCCTCTGTTTGCAGCTCATTTATAATAGCTTTGCCCGGTTCCTAGTCAAGGAGAAAGGGTACGATAAGGAATTGCTCACTGTGACCCCAGAGGACTGGGATTTCTGGTAAGCTTGTCTTTTTTTTTTCATTTTAATGTCTGCACATTCCCTGTGATTCTTAATTGTTGCTGATAAAATTTTAATGCCTCTTCTCCTGTGAAGGTAGAATGTGAAATGTGAAATTGAGTCAAAGGGCAAAAGGCCTTCCATACTAAAAATTTTGTATTTTCTACTTTGAACAAGTTTAGGCTTAATTGTGAATATAAGGTAAGAGCTTATTGATTAATTTGGATATTTTTGAATAGCTTAAGTTTGTCATAATTAAGAGTTTCAAAGGGTCAGGGATTTAACTCAGTGGTTTTGCCGCCTGCTGCACAAGCCAAGGACCCGAGTTCGATCCCTGGTACCAAAAAAAAAACGAATTTCAGGGGTTAAGAAATAAAGTTTACATCTTTATCAAGAAAAAGTTAGCTTTATTATCTTTTAAATAAAGAATTATAAAGGGAGTCATCATCATGTCTTGAGTGAATTAGAACATTTGGTTTTGTGTAATTTGGATAGACATCCTTGCTGACTCCCTTTCTGGTTTAGAATTCTCAACTTCCCAAAGCTTCTTTTGTTTTTCTTCCTCATTTAAATAGTAAAAACAAACAAAAATCTTACACCACTTTAAATTTTTCATTTTAGCCAGGTACAGTATAGTGGCATTCACGTACAGGCTGAGAGGCAGGAGGATCATTTAGCCTAGGCTAAGTGATTTGGGGTCAGCCTAGGTAACACAGTGAGACCCCCCTTCTCAAAACAGATTTTTAAACATAAATAAATAAAAGTGAAATTAGTAGTGATACTGAAAACACATGAAAAATGCATACATAATATTGATCTGTTATACATTTCTCTGATATTTGATTAGTCCTTTGCTATGTCCCTCATATATAAGGAAAAAACAGAAAGCTCTTACTATATGAAACCAGTGGCTCTGGAAATTTTATTGTGGGAAAAAGTAAACGATGCTTGTAAATTACCTTGTCATTTTTGTTTAATTCTCTTCCTATTTGAGGGCCATTAAAACACTTTGCGTGCATTATTTATAATATGACTCCATACTCACTTTTCTCCCCAGGTCCCGTAAGTCTTTCACAGTGAAGAATTTAAAAACCTGGTGTTTGACTTTCTTTTAGTGGTTTCAGTAGTGTGCTTTGCCCCGAGTGCAAGCTCATCTGGACCTAAGCTGAGACAAATTCTAAATGGTGTAGAGAATGCTGTGGCTGGGAGGTCACCTTATAGGGTATCAGAGTGCACGCGTGTAGGCATGCACATTTGTGCATTTGTATATAATGTGTTTTAGGTAATGGGAAACATCTGTACATTTTGACAGCCACAGAATTATCCTCAAGTTTCTTTCTCTTTTGGCTTTCAAGTTCATCTTTTTAAAAGCCTAAAGATTTTACAATCTATACATGCTGCCCTTTGCCTATATAACAGTCTTTACATACCTCCTGTGTGGTAGGTATTTATACTTCTCAAATATTTTTGTTTATTTAATTAACACACATCACCTGGGTAGAAGAATCCCTTTATTGGAGTTGTAACTTTTTAAAAATATGAATTATTATTTCTTGGATTATCTACACTTATGAATTGATTGATAATCAAACTTTTCTATTTTAGTTGCAAGGGTTTGGCATTGGATCTGGAAGATGGAACCTTCATTAAACTTGCAGAGAATGGCACTGTGCTCAGGTAACGCAATATATTTGTAAAGTTAAAATTTTACTTTCTCTAGGACAGCGGTGGACATGTTATTGTGTTTTTCTTTTAAGACAGCAGATGTTAATGTATGAGTTTTTTTTTTTTCAAAACTAAAACCTCAGTACTCAGGTTTAATTGCAGTGTTGACACTTTGCGATAAGTAAGTGCATTCTTTCTGGGTTGCAGTTTGGGCACTCATCTCTAAAAGGTTCTCCATCACTGCTGTAGGATATTTTATGACTATGTAGTATATGACCCTTAAGGTATGGGTGAAATAAGATTATTATTTTAGTGAAACAGATGAGGGAATGTCTGATCTGCGAGATTTAGATTTAAAGGTCTAGTTCCTCATTCAGAATATTTGCAGAAGTAATATAATCCAAGAAGTAAATACACAGCAGCACAACTGACAGTGTCCAGGAGATACATGAGCTACTTCCACAATGTGTTCACATCTACAGATGTTCATGATGCAAGATCTGCTCGTATCTGGTAAAGTTCACAACTCAAATGTTCATAAGTCAGTGACTTAACTGTATAAAGTCATCTCAGATTCTCCCCAGACCTTCCTCCGTAGAGCATCCAACTAGAACAGGTGTGGATACACCTTTGAATACTTGGCAATTTATTTGATTTTTTTTCCTCAGACATCTAAAGATAACATGCGCAGCTTTGACTGTGACCTTTAACTCTGTGATCATGTTGCCACAGTGTTTGTGATAGCCAGCTTTCCATTGCTGGGACAAAATACTTGACACCTGCAATTTAAAGGAGGAGAAGTTTATTTTGGCTCATGGTTTCAGAGGGTTCAGTTCATGTTCTGCTGATTTCTGGCTTGTAGCCAAAAGGGAATGGGGGAGGAAAGCTGTTCTCATGCCATCAGGAAGCAGAGAGCAGGGAAAGAGCTCTACAAGGGAAGGCACCAGGGATCAGATATAGTCCCCAAATGTCACACCCCTGTGATCCACTCAGACATACTCAGAAATTGGCTTTACTAATCTCCTAGTCAAGCCAATCAAGTTAACAGTCAAGACTCTCATAGTATTCTTGGCTATCTTCAGTCATTCTCTCATGGTTATTTATGTGTGTCTGTCTGTTTTCCTCCCCTAGGGTCTTTCCTTGCCCATTCATGTCCTGGCTAGCCTGCTGTTTCTCCTCAATTTCATAGCTAATCTCCTTGGCACCATCTTTCCAGCGCAGCACAGTACATTCTTTGACCATATTTCCCATTTGGGATTCTTCCATCTTGATTTCTAGTATTCACCTCATTATAAAAAGGAACCCATTTATTCTAGGCATGGTGGCTTCTAGTTGAATGACAGTTTCTCTAGGAGTGAGTGGGGTCTCGGGTAGCATTGACTTCAGAGTGAGCAGCTCCTAATCACATGTGACTGGGTTGAATGGAGGAAAAGCTAGAGCTGTTGTTAGAAATGCCTTATAGAATCTCAGGGAAGTCTCCCAGCTGAAAACAGAAAAAGAAAAAGAAGAACAAAACTTTGTTAGTTCAGGGGAAGTGTTAATGAGTAATATGCTTCTTAAAACCAGGGCGAGTCATGGAACCAAAATGATGACTCCGGACATGCTAGCTGAGGCATATGGGAAGAAGGAGTGGAAATACTTCGTGTCTGACACTGGCATGCCCAGCCACCCAGGTATGACCCACATGGGTGGCTCTGTGTCCACTGCTCTTTAACTTTGGACCCTGAACTTGCAATGTGAGAACACAGGCCCTTCTGTGCCCTCCATTGGGCGGGATACACAAAGGAATTACCTTCAGTAATTCCTTTATTGCAATAAGATGTGGGGTTTTTTCTAGCTTTGTCTGATTCCTGTTTGACAGCTGGTTCATAATACTGTTAGCAGCATTTTCACCCTGCTCAATACAAGGTTTTATTCATACTCCTTTTACTTGCACTTGTTCTGGAGTACATATGAGTAGCCTTTAGAAATAGTGTGTTCCTCACCTGTGCTTTCTTTGTATTCTTTATCGATTTGTTACATGCTTCCTCAGTCTCCATTCTCCATCATCTGCTTCTCTCCACATTCACATTACTCACCACTTCTGTTTTCTGGAATTCTTTTTTCTTCAATCCTAGTATCTTCTGCCTTTGTATTTTGCTTTCCTGTATTTTTAATTATAATTCTTATTTTTGATGTTTCTGGGAACTAAACGAAAGACAAGTGTCCTTCTGCTGAGTTAGATCCCTAACAATTCTTGTATTTTAAATTTCTTATATTTTAAATTAAGTTGTTTTTCTTTTCCAGTTTTTTAAAGAGCTTCACCAAGGCTAAACATAAAATTATTTTTCAAAAATTATTTCCATAGATGTCCATAAATTTATATGAAATGATTAAACAGGCTTTATTGAAAGTTTTTCATTTTTATTGTTGTATCTGCTTGGTTTGTTGTATTTACCCATCGTTTGAGAGTTTTGTTTTGCTTTGTATTTTTGTAGTGAGTTGAAAGTGTAAGGAAGTGTACGTACTCTTGATAAAATAAATTGATAAGAAAAATTGAGATGTCATCTTTGGGATTAGATACAGAATCCTTCCATACATCTCAAGTGAAGTGGGTACATATCCTCAAGTGCGTATTACTCAAATGATGATAGAGAACTGCTGTTAGCTCTTCAGAATTTAGCAATTACAGATAAGCTTTTTCCTTATTCCAGAAAGGGGATAACATGTAAGTGTTTCATTCTGAAATCCACTCAAAATCTGAAGTATTTCGCAGCATTCACGGGGTAGGACACGCACATTTGCTCAGTTTCGCCCACTAGAGGGCACTGTTACCCCCTTGAATCTGCAGCCCCCATAGCACTTAATTTCCCTGGAGCATCAAGTCTTGTTCATTTACTCTGAATTGGGTTGGTTCAGCACGTGTTTCTCATCCAGGTGCCCTGTACCTAGGTAATGAGGCTGTGACATAAAATAAAGGCCCATGTTTTTGCAAAATAATAAAAGTAATACATTTTTAAAATTTTTTAATATTAAAAAAAATTTAATATTGAGAAATATAAAAGAAAAGGAAAATCCTGTGATTCTGCAAACCCGTTTACTTTTTTACATTGAGTCATCTGGTTAGGAAGTTGATATATTACAAAAGTTAGGAACAGTGGGTGCTAGATTCTGCAGATACTTCTGAGGAGATGCACAGAAACGACCTCCTAGAGCTGTCAGCCCAGGGCACGGGAGGCTACATATTTGTTCACTGACTCCTCCTCCGTTAGCTGAGCTTGGCCACATGGGCCTTTGAGTGAAAGTAAGGGACACTGAAATTTGAGGTAGGCTGGTGCTGTTGAGCACAGCTGTGGCTGCAACAGACTCAAGCCATGGGGGTGCGGCACGGCCATCAGAAGTGCCACCCAGAAACAGCAGATCCACAGAGTATGTGTGCCAGTGAAGGGTGCAGTTTAATTCTGTCCTGACCCATACAGAATAACTCTATTCCCCCGCTTCCATAGGATCCTGGAGTGCACCTGTCGTGTGCTCCTGAATTTTTCCAACACCATGTGGTTTGTTCTTTATTCCTCTCAGAACCCTATTTGTTCTCATAGTGTATTGAAACATGTCTGAAATGCAAAACCTGAATGTGGGCTCTCGGTGGGCCCAGGAACAAAAGTATGAAAAGGCTCATGTGTGAAGCACTCTGTGGGACTCCAGTATTATCTGGTTGTTTTGAAATTCAGTGACATTGACAATACACATTGTCACTTCTACATGTTCTATTCTATTTTATATTTAGGGTATATTCTGTTTTTCGATTTTATATTTTTGAGCCTACCCAAATATTTTTAATAAAATACTTAACTTACAGATGCCATATTAGTGTCCTTGGAGCTTAAATGTTCTTTGAAAGGCAGTGATAGCCTCTAATGGGGCCATTTTGAATTGAAATGGAGGCTTTTCAGATAAGTAACCCACAAGCCGGTGTCTCTTCAGGCAAGTTTTTGTGTATTCCATATGCATGAGGCATTAATTTGTTCTCAATTTTAAAATTTTGTTGTTTTTTTTTCAGGAAAGTATTATTTTTATGATAACTATTTTGACCTGCCAGGAGCTCTCTTATGTGCCAGAGTGGCGGATTCTTTAACAAAGGTGAGTGGGTATTCATGCTTTTAAAAACTATATGTATTCAGTTATAAGTAAAAGGACTTGATTATATATAATTTTGAGCTGAGACTTTATTTAATTACCTGTTTGTGGTTTCAGAGGTGACTGAGGAAGAAAAACATGGTGAATTTGGTCAGAATATTCTTAGAAAATTAAATAGCAGTGACTACCCCACCCCCTGAAAATAAACCTACAGGGGGTGCAAAAGTCTAGAAAAAGAAAATACAGAACATGATGTGGGCAAATATTTTTCGGGTTTCATTAGCAGAATAAAACTTAAGTAAAAGTGGCCAGGGATTTGATTTAGCTCAGTGGAGCCACACCTACCTCGCGAGCACAAGGTCCTGAGTTCAATCTCTGGTACTGAAAAAAGAAAACTTAAGTGAAAGTAATTAATATTCTGTGTGTCTTTAAGCATTGTGAATAGTATAAAACAAGAAAAGGGAGTTGAAATTTTTAAATTCATCATTTTAAGCAATTTAAAGTGTATAGAGTTTTGCTTTGTGTTATGTATCAAGATGAAATAGGGCTCTAATTTTATCAATTTATACTTAAAGCTTCAGATCTATGAATAGAAATGAGTTTACATGGCAGAATCACTTTCCCTTTTGCATATGTTGCCTTTTAAAGTTAAAGTTGTGTATATAAATGGCTTTTTAATTAGAATTACAGCCATGTGTTTGTAAACATATCTATTAGGCAATAGTTTTGACATATTTATATACATCTTCATTAACAGGTAATGAGGTCAGTGTCTCATGTTAATAGTTATTACAAACAAAATATATCAGTCTTTTTTATTCTTTTGTTTTTTCTTTTGAGGTGTTGGAGATCAATCCCCAGGCCTCACACCTTGTAGACAGGTGCTCTACCACTGACCTACACCCACAGCCCAAAATGCATTGTTTTAAGTATTTTGTAGCTTCCATGATCTTACACAAATATCCAGTAGTCTTTGTTGATAATGATAGGAGGACAACTGTTAATGTTTCCAAGGAAACAAAGGGCTCTAAAGTTGTATCCTTCAGTATAATGTTTGTTTTCTGATTTTAAAATGATTTAAATGATTAAATGATTTAAATTTTAGATTTGGAATGCTATTCATCTCTCCTATACTTATTTGCTGCTCTTTTATTTTGAAATTCAGGTTAAGTGGGCCTTGAGTTCTGAAATAAACAGTGTTTGAAGCCATAGAGCTTTAGGTTTCTTGGCCCCATTGATGCCAGAGCACATTAAGTAATATGTTTATATACTTCAAAAACCGTGTGACTTTGTAAATTCACTTATGTGTTTAAAGTTCTCTGTAATGGGTACACTTTATAATGAGTGGGAATTTTATTTTTATTTGGGCTATATGAGCTATTATGTATTATGTATTTGCATATGCATATATACATATATATATGTACCAGGGGTTTTCATGCAAGATTCCTCTAAAATCATATTGAACAAGAATGAGAACTTTATCAATCTATTACCTTTTCTAAAACATAAATCCCTATCTTATAGTTCAGTAATATTGTAATTTGTTTGCCAGCATTTTCCACTATGCTTAGACTCAAAATTACTGCATTTGTTACATTTGGACATTTTTTTTTTAGCAGAACAGTGGTCAAAAAACATTTGATTTTTGGAAGGATATAGTTGCTGGTATTCAACACAATTTTAAAATGTCAGCTTTTAAGGGTGAGTAACGTGAAGAGAGGCTTCCTAATAGATATTTGTTAAACGCTGTGTGTCTGCTGAATTAGATAGAAGTTACCTCTTTTGCTGTGCTCCTTTCTTAATATTTAATGTGATCTTAAATGTTGCTTATATAAGTTAGTTCTGCTTATATTTTAAGAGGTTCTTTTATTCATGTCTGTTTATTCATGGTCATACTTGCCAGTATTACTTGCTATGCTGTTAAAATGTCTTTTCCATGCCTGCCAATAGTGTTGTGCTGCGGGTTCCTTAGAACTGAAAACTCCAGTGTTGCTGCTTTCTGCCTTGGGAGGGAGAGCTGGTGACCTTTAGTGTGACCTCTACTGTGGCAGTGTGGACAGCTGGGCAGAGTGGCTGGCAATGAAAATGTCATTCTTGCTGTTCAAGGCACAGGAGTGGTTGACCCACAATGGGGTCAGAGCCTAGGATTTTAGATTTTCCTTCCCAAGTTGCTTGGGCTACACAAAGGCTAGCTCTAAGGAATAAAAAGGTGCCCAGACCCTGTAATCAGACTGGCTTAATTCACCTAGTTGGCTAATGGATGCTCAGGAGCAGTACTGTCAACTTTGAAACATGCTGCTTTTTTGTTTGACACTAAAATATTGCTTGTCTTTTTCTTAATGTAAATCAAGCCATCAAAATAGTTTTAAATATTATGATTAAAAATTGTCAAAGCAATAAAAAATAATTATAGAATATTAGTTCAAATTACTTATTTCTTTTCCACCTGCTGCTTTCCATCCTTTGGGGTGATTTTCTCTTGTCTGTGCCTGCTTTTCCACCCTTGACCTGGCCCTGAGCCACCCATGGCTGTGCAGGTGCTCTTCACAGTGCACGCTGAGTACTGGGCTTGTGGATTGCCATCCCCAAACCCACCACAGCTGTAAAAGCCATCCACCACTTTATTGCTTTTCTCCTCATTAACTTTCAAAACCAAAAAGCCTTAAAAGCATGATTGAGAATAGCAAATTGCAGCTTTCAAGTAAATTCAGCATAAAAATCCGTTGATGTTATTTTACTGCTTTGTAAATAAGGAGTAGATTAAACATTTCATGCTTTAATAAGTGAGGCACAGCTTAGCAGTCTTAAACAGTAATATAAAAATACAGTACAGAGCATAAATAAGTAATTTTTCATTTATAGTCAGATTTTGAAATCCTTGATGATAGTCATACTTTCACTGGAATGGGAACCACAAGGTATGTACACTAATATTCTGTAAACTGACCAAATATTGTATAAGATTCAGTAAGGAATTAAATTAATCACATTTGTGTTAAATAAAAAAGAAAAGGTCAGACATCTATTTGAGTTGTGCTAGGTATATGAAAAGATTTTCTGCAATCATAGAAAAGTTTCAAAAGGTCCATGATTAAAATACCCGGCATTTCAGATTTTCAACACAATATTTTGGTTTCTTACAAGAGCTTCAAAGAGTACATATGCACCTATGTATTTGAATCAGTCTTGATGAACGGGGCCATATAAGCCACAGAATAATGCACCATTACAAGTATCTTAGGGTACACAGTGTTTTTTTTAAGTGTAGATATTCAAGTATGTAAGTTCTACAAAGTTGTGTGTTAGTTCTTGGATGTTTCCTAAAAATTCTCATATTAATTGTTAGAAGGTTTATTTTAAAAGGAAATGCTGAGTTTCTGGAATTAAAATTAAAACAATTTAGAATTCTATTTTTGGTTTTTTGTGATTTTTTTTTTTTTTTCCACTATAGCAGGACTTTTATGGTGAGATGTTTAAATATTTTCAGCCTACCTCCATTGCATTTTGTGGGGTGGGATGGAGTTTGGGAATGCCTTTTCACACAGAAGATTTAGATTTGTTTGGGGGCGGGGGGAGGATGTGTGCTCACATGGGAGCCACCAGGAATCCTGAGAAGGAGGAGTGGACATACTCAGAGGAGTAGAGGCCATTTGACTCAGCATTGGGTAGCTGAAGCCACACCTGGTCACTTTCTGTGAGATCGATTATGGTACTCCCTGAGGCCTGATCCAGGTAGCCTTTGGTGTACTCATCATAGGTGTACATTATGGGGGTGCCGTTCTTATACAGGCCTACCCAAACATGAGTCCCTTTCACATGCATATGGTAGGAGAAATAGTATATTCCGGGTACCCTGCAGGTAAAGATTCCAGTTCTTGGGTCATAATGCTGTTGCCTGTTATACAAAATCTTATCAAATGGAATGGGAGCACCTATTGCTGGGTAAGCTTTGGAAAGGATAACAGTAAAAGCAGACACAAGAATTCCTGTCACTCCTTGGTTGGCACTGACAAAAGGTGTCCCCAAAAGACTTGGCCTTTGGCCTGCCTTGGTAAATCCCTCGGGCATGACTGCCTGGCCTGGGGGTCCTGGGGGGCCTGGTGGCCCTGGAGGCCCTGGAATACCAGGCTTCCCATCATGGCCCCTTGGACCTGGAGGCCCTGGTGGTCCAGTAGGTCCATTAAGGCCTTTAGTTGCTATGCCAGCTGGCCCAGGAGGACCTGGTTTTCCAGGATCACCTTTAGACCCAGGGAATCCTGGAATGCCTGGTGGCCCAATGGGGCCCCTGGTACCTGGTGTGCCAGGGACACCTCTTGGACCAGCTTCTCCATCGTGTCCTGGGACCCCCTTAGCTCCTGTGAGGCCTGTAGGGCCTGGGGGACCAGGAGGTCCTCCAGCTCCAGGATTGCCTTTGGGACCTGGTAACCCTGGGTTACCCTGAGCACCACTGAGACCTGCCTCTCCGGGGTACCCTGGTTTTCCTTCTAACCCAGGAGAACCCTTTGCTCCCCGAGCCCCGGGATGTCCTGCAGGCCCGATTGGCCCTGTTTCACCTTTAGGACCTGGGATACCATGGTTGCCTGGGATGCCTTTTGGTCCTTGAGGTCCCACACTTCCAGGGGACCCAGGCAGACCTGGTTCCCCAGGATGACCTGCTGGCCCTTGTTCCCCTTTGGCTCCTGGACTCCCTGGAAGTCCAGCAGGTCCTCTTTGTCCCTTCAGACCTGGCAAGCCTGGTTTCCCAAAACCAGGGGCCCCAGGGTGTCCAGCTATTCCTGGAATCCCAGGTTGGCCTTTTGTTCCTGGAATCCCTGGCTGGCCTGGGGTTCCAGGGGCTCCTGGCTTTCCGATGCCTTCTGGTCCTCGTCCCCCAGGAGGACCTTGGGGACCTGGTGGGCCAGTTGATCCCCTTTCTCCTGGAAAACCCCGATCACCTTTGATGCCTGGCTGTCCTGGAAACCCATGTTCACCTCTTTTTCCCAGTCCAGGAGGGCCAGGTGGTCCCATGGGACCCTGAGGGCCTGGATGACCTCTCTCACCTGGATGGCCAGGAGCACCATATCCTGCTACCCCTTTTTGTCCATTCACACCTGGGGCCCCTGGTACACCCTTTTCCCCAGGAAAGCCCCTGGGTCCAGGGGCACCCACAGGTCCTTGTTGCCCAGGTTTTCCTGACACAGAAATTCCAGCTGGGCCAGGGATTCCGGGTGGCCCTGGTGGGCCCCTTGGTCCAGGTAAACCAGCTGGTCCAACATCTCCTTTTGGTCCATATGGTCCTCTCTCCCCTGGTTTTCCTGGGAGTCCTGGCAAACCTGGCTTCCCAGTGCCCAGCGGTCCCGGTGGTCCCGGCAATCCTGGCTCTCCTTGGAGTCCAGGACTTCCATAGCCTGGTTTTCCTGGTGGTCCAGAAGGACCTGGGTGCCCTCGAGGTCCAGCAGGGCCTGGTGGGCCAGGAATACCTTGCTCTCCTCTTACTGCTATACCTAAAAGACACAACAATACACCACCCAGAGAAGGGATGGTTAGTGACACTGAAGATAATCGGAGCTTCTCAGACTGAATCAGGACAAGGCACTGCAGTGTCAGTCATTCTGACAGTCCAGTGCAGACCAGTCCAAAGGCAGTCAGTTTATCTGTTTGGTATCGTTTAAAAAATACTGTTAGAAGGGCTGAGGATTTAGCTCAGTGGTTCCGGCGCCTGCCTTGCAAGCGCAAGGTCCTGAGTTCAATCCCTGGTACCAAAAAAAATTTTAAAAATAAAAAATATTGTTAGAGAAGATAGTTTCACAAAGTCATGGAGACCATAATAATTTGTCACATCCTTGTGAACCATGAGACGAAGACAACAGTGAGGAATTCCTCTAGCATAGGAGTACAGTAGAGGCAAAGTTATCACACTTGTCTTAATATCATCTTAGGTAAGGAGGAAGAGGAATTTGACAGAACTGACAAAAAAAAAAGAAAATGGTAATTGAATAAATGAAAAAAATATTTCGAAAGTATAACAAACATTAAAAAATGGAATTAATTCTACTTTATATCTGACATGCCCTGCTGAATAGTTTAGATTTAGACTGCTTTTTTTCTAATCAGTATATTCTGTGAGCTTTTATTCTCTCCCTTATTGATTTGAAATAAAGAATCAGCAAATTAGACATAATGAATGAGGTACATGTAGTAGTATTTAAGCACTTACCTAAATGCAAACAAATAATATTGTTTGATTTTATAAAAGTATTAGTTCTTTTGACCAAAAGGACTTCTCTTTAACCTCAGCAATCCCTGATTGAGTGCGTGTGTGACGTGGAAAGTGCTACTGGGCCACAGGGGTGGGAGTGCACAGGATCTGTCCTACAGGGCCTCTGTCATTAAACAGAGTACAGTAAGTGCTTTAGAAGGTGTCCAAGAGCTGTTCTGGGACAGGGCATTGCAGACATTACTACTGAACATGAGGGAAGGATTAATTACCATCACACTCTTTCAGGAGTAATCATAAGCGTCTTTTTTTTTTTTTTTTTTAAGTGGTACTGGGAAATGAACTCACGGCCTTTGCACTGAGCTTCATTTCCAGCCCCTATTTTAATTTTTTGTTTGGAGTCAAGATCTCACTAAGTGGCTGCCCTTAAACTTGTGATCCTCCTGCCTCGGCCTTCCAAAGTGATGGGATTACAGGCATATATCACCATGCCCGGGTACATAAAAAACTTTTTGTTTCTCAAATTCTTCAACAGCTAGCAAAGATGATAATAAAATTTGTATGATCTTTCATATCTTCTTGCAGAAATTTATATTGATTATTTAATGAGCTATCTGAGTCTGCTGGAAATCTGTTTTGCTATGAAAGAGTGAAATCAAGACTTATTGAAAACGATGGCATTGAGCTCCATTGGAGTCTACAACTCCACTGACAGGGTGCTCTGTGTCGCTCTGAATGTTGCCCTCATAGGTCCTAAACCTCTCCATGCAAGGATGAGTTTGACCCCTGTTTGTAGCTTGCTATCTCAAAACAAGATTAGGGCAGCAGCAGCCTTAAGGAGGAATGACTTCCTGCTGCTGGTTGTGTCCAAACACGGTGGCTGCACCTGCTCACAGCTGTAGCATCCTCAGCAGCACAATTTAGTGGGTTTGGCGAAAGTCTGTTTTAGGCTTGCTGTGCAGATGTGCCTAGGAATTATATGGGAACTCTTTGAATTTCTATTAGCAATTGAATGCTTTTCTTTTGTAAACTGTGGGGTTTTATGTTTGTTACACTACATTAATCCCTGCCAGTGGATGATAATATATTTGAGTTTTCACCTTACATTATTAAGAAGAGTAGTTAAGCTACAGCTACTGAACTTTTCATCTGCTAACAAAATACTTTTATTGTGCAAAAATAACCAAGATGTTGCAGTATCTCAAGGTGGGAAGATAGAAATATGTTTAACCTGAAAGTGATGCGTTTTATTTTTTAACTCAGAACTGTTTCTAATGATTCTACGAAGGTATTAAGAAGTGAGAATTTGAGCATTATGAGAATATTGAGCCTGGTACTGCATATCATAGCATTTCAAATTACATTTGTTGCTTCCAGTGAAAGAGCAGATTTCTTTGTCTTTTATTCTTTCTTTTTTAGCTTTTATCTTTCTAAATTTAGTTGTATTTTGAGGCATTCAGGAGTATCTGTTGTACAACTGTGCTTTTATTTTTAAATATTAAGCTATCTTTCAGAAAATATTTTAAATTTCACCTTCTTAAAAAGGCAGTCTTACAAGTTTAGTTTCTTCAAATGGTTGTTTCCAAAAGTATATTGTTTAAAATATATGACAAATGACTTTAGCTTCATTTGTGGGACAGAATACATAACTAAAAGGAAAAATATTATGGAAAGGAAACTTGAAGCCTGCTATCAGTTTATATTATTCAGTAGATGTTAGGTAGGTTGTATCAGATGCTATTAAGTGGAATTAGTGAAGACCTTCTTGAGGGTGTATTTTCCATATATTGTCAAAGTGCTCTTCACTGTAGCAGGGGAAGCCAGACAAGAAGTAGATTCAGAAGCACAGTTAAAACTTACCTGTGGCTGCACCAGTAGAGTAGTATAGAAACGCAGAAGTAGAAGTAGTATGCCAGTAGTGTAGTAATAGCAAACCATGAAGCCCTTGACAGTCTGGTAGGTCTTTCAGATAGCTAGCTGTTCCTCATTTTAAAAATGAAGAAACTAAGGCATGAGGAGGAAAAAAATCTTGCCTGAGGCCACATAGCTAGTATGTAGCAGCTAAGTCTGTATTTCACCACCAAACTATATAAGAATGAGTAAATAACTATGAGAATTGCTACTTCATTTGCCTCTTGATTTGAGGAAGGGCATCAAGTTTTATTTAAGATTCCCTTTTGTGTACATTTGTAGCCCAGTTGAATGAGTTTTAAAAGTAAATGTTTAAGTATTTATATATATAAATCTTCTATTATCATTATACAAATTATTTTAGATAAAATTTTAAGCATGATTAATTTTGATTGGATAAATATTTCCAGATTATGGATAGTTATTTATGCAAAAGCATCATTAGAGGGGAACCTCTCCACACATAAAAATTCTTAATATTCTTCAGTCTTCAATTACATCTTTTATATTCACTGTTCAAGGGATTTTACTAGTCTTGTATTGACCTGCTCCTTCCATAGATCATTTTGTTGTAAAAATTTGAGCTAATTCACGAATTAGAAAATAGACTAACCAGAGTTGAAAGCATTTTGTTTCAAACGTCATCATCTTTAAGGCTGTAGAAAGTACCCACCAGCTGGATAATGCAGCAAAATCTATAGTTTGGTTTACCTTTACTCCGTATGGTATAGGGAATGAAGAACTGGGTCTTGGTGTTGGGCAGTGGGCCTTTTATGCCTGTGGGTGTTTGGTATCGCTTAGCATAAAACTCTCCATGAACCAAGATCAACGACATTAGCAGCCGAAGGGCTATTTGTGGCAGCATATTCTCAGGTGGATTCTGAAAAACAGAAGGACAGTATTTCATTTAGTTTTTTTCTTGACATATTTTTTTTTCAGTGCTGCACAGGTGAACTCTTCATATGGTAATCTACATTTTTAGCCAGTCCTTTATATTTTTAATATATTCCATAAATTAATGAGTTTTTTTAGTCCTGTGAGTATAGGTCTTTGTTACTTTTGGAAGCGCCATTCAAAGAATCAAGTAAAAATAAAGTGATTTACAAACAGGCAAACAAATCATCATTGGATCCCTCCATTAAGTAATTCAGGATATTTAACACCCTGAAATACCTAGTAGTTTTAAAATGCACTAAAATTCAGATTACTACAACAGGGATTTTTTAGAATTGTATAGACTGGTACAAATAAACCTTTCTTAGAGATTATAGTAGAAGGCAGTTTGTAAAAATTATGACAGAACATCAAGTAGTTAATTTATTGAAACTTATTTGCAAGCAAGCCAACACTTGACGGTCTGCCAGTGACTGCCCACTCCATGTCTTACCCGGGTGCTAGGGGCTCCTAGAGGTGGTGCCTTGGCAGCTGTCTGAACTTCCTGTGCCCAGACAAGCAGTGCAGGAGATGCTCTGCACAGGAGATGCCCAGGAGATGCCCTGTGCAGAGCTGCCCTGGGGTATTTATGCTGTTTTCCCTTACTGCACAAGGTTGCCCTCAGTTAAGCTCCTCCCCTCAGAGGTGGTAAGCACTAATTATGGTGGAAGGTTCCATTAGGCAGGCTTACAGAATCAGGCTGGACTCTCTTTTTCCTTGTTTTCTTATTGAAAAAAAAAACTATTTGCCTTAAATATATTTTAGTAGTTTTAAACATACACCCTCTTTTTATTTTAGAAGTTATTCTAAATTATAGATATTATTATTTCAATGTTGGTTCAAGGTGAAATGATGATTTCCCTTTTTATTTTTGAAAAAGCACATTCTTGTGTTACTTGGCTGAAAATATTTGGTAGTATATAAAAATAGGGAAAGAATTCTTTTGGAGGGGCATGAGTTTAAGCCATCTCATTTCTTCATTTATTACATAAAGCCAGCAATGTGTCCTTCAATGTTCCTAAATTTTTATGAAAATAGTTTTTCTCGGTTCTTACTTAAGTTTTGGTCTTAGAGAGAAAAAAAATGGTGAAATGTAAGAATGCTGTTTTGCATTTCAGAATTTTAGTGTAAGCTTTCAGGTTAATAAAAGAAATTTAACATGATAACATTAAATATTTCAAGTTTTTGCATTTGAATATTTTCACTGTTTTAGAAAAATACAAGACATCTGTGGATTTAATAGGAGAGTTAGCAACATACACTCCCTGAACGATTTAGATTCTTTATTCACAACACTACATTGATTTTAATAAAGGGCTTCAGATTTTCTTACTTAAATTTGAACTACCAGATTGAGGGTTGGAGTCGAATTCGAAACACCCTTAACTTGATCATCTTGTATTGTGTTTATTTACATAAGGTTGCTGTGTTCCACTTAGAAGAAAAAAATTCCTCAAAAATTTGCTTTTAGCTTTTTAAAAAGAACTGCTGACATATATTGAAGTTTCCTTCAGGAATCTTAAATCATCCCAACTAGAAACATTTTAATCTCCAAAGGGGGAAGCAAACATTATTGTTGTCAATCTCAGTAGTTTTCTCTTTTTACAATGTCAGAGACTCCTTTGAAGAATTCCATAGAGAGAAAAAGATACATCACTTTTGCTACATCCCTAGAATTAAACTAGTATGAACTTGGGACTGATCAGTAATTAAAATAATTGAATGTTTTACCAGAAATGAAATAAAAGTTTTTCCTTTTTCTTTCCCCTGCTCCTCTCCTGTAGGCAGTGTTCATTGTGTATGTAAACAAAGCCTTGTTGTGTAAATGCAGTGTTCTTCCTCACTGCCCCCTCTCTCACTTTGAAATATTTTACTAATTGACATATTTAAAAATCTACACTTTCGTTATACCTCTATGTAATGCTCAAGAAATACAGCTTATATATCAGTTTAGATTATCAAGAGAATCAGTTTGTATTGTAATTATTCTTTCATCATTTAGAAGTTATGTAAGGGATAGCTTTTGTAATATGAGAGACTACAAAAAATAAGTGAAGGAAGACAGCTGCCTTCCATTTGCTTATGGTTCATTTGGACAAGAATTTGAAAAAATAGTTGAGGTACTAGTAGATGCCCTTCGAATCTAGGACAAATGTGTTTTGAAAGGAATTATCAGAAATACGTAAGTATTTTTGTGTGTATATATGTTTACATAGACACACATGCTTTTGCTTTAATTGAGACTGATACTGTGTGAACTGGAAGATGAATTTTCAGCTCTTCATACCTAGCACTTTGCACCTGAGTACACTGTTCAAGTGTGACTGTCATAGCTATTTTCAGAGCTGTTCATTATAATGTAAAAAGATATCTGTTTTTTCATCACAGAGTGAAAAATTTGGACGAGATGGTTTCTAAGCTCCTCCTAGCTTTAAAATTAAATTATTCTTATGCTTGAGGTATTCTGCTGTTCCCCATGGTCAGACGGTAGACTTGACTCCATTTATACTCTACAGACAAAAAAAAGAAAAAAAGTCCATACTTGGTGGTTATATGCCTTCTTTGGGGGATATGTAAATATATGTGGGTATTAGTCGTTCTTTCTATATTCTTTAACCTTGAAAAATGTGGTGTCTTTATTGGTAAGTCTTGGGCAGTCAGCCCTTTTTGTAAATAGTGTACTATTTCGGCTCACGAAATCTGACTACTGTTTGTTTTGTTAGTCACATAAGAAGCACTGTGTTGTCCAAAACAGATTGTAGAATCAGAATATTTGCTAGCCATACCCCACCCAGTTGTGTGTTTAAAACTATTTTTATTCTAGGTGTTTACTTTTAGCTATTAGAAGTGACTAATTTGTGACTTTGCAAAAGAAACCTATTCCACTTGAAACAGAGCCCTGCTCTTTGAACTCACCTGTTTCTTTTTATCAAATATGAGTGATGATTTTCACACATGTAGCAATTAGCTGCTTTTCAGTCTGCTATTCATTTGTGTCTCCCAAGGTCATTCATTAATTCACCACATATTTCTTGAGTACCACCCGAATGTCAGGCATGGAGGTAAATCTTGGGTGACTAATGCATACTCCTAACTCTTAAGGTGTTTACACAGTGGTTTTCAACCTCTTTTCCTGTTCCTACTAACCTGGGGAGATGACACAATTTGTTCAGTCTTTGGTGTTCATTAATAATGGTTGTAGTTCAGAAACTGTATTTTACCACAGCTCCTTAGGTGCTCATGGTGGACTCCTGAGCTGAAATGTGTAGTTTGTTGATATCAGTGTCATTGCTAGCTAATACTAGCTATCTAATTTTTTAAATTTTTGTGTTCATATTTCTTTTAACTTTATTGTAGAAACCTTTGGTACTGCCTACAATAGGATGCATGGTTACAGTGAATTCCTATGTACCTCTCACCCAACTTAGTCTAACCTCAACTCATTGTCTTTCAGTTCTTCCATTTACCCCCTCCTCAATTCTGAAACAAATACCGTACATTGTACCAGTTCACCTATGAATATTTCAGTATATTTCTCCAGAAGACAAGAAGTCCTTTTTCTGTAAAGAGTATCTTTTTCATGTCTAACAACTAAACCTTTCTTAATAGCAGATCCTTTAGTCTGCATTCACATTTCCCCAATTATCTATGTTAGGTGTGACTCATGAATATGTAGACAAATGTATATGTGTATAAACATATACATGGATAAACAGTGCATGTATATATAGACTATATGTATACATATTCCTGTGTATTTTTAATGATTTATTATTTGTTCAAATGAAGTTCATGAATTGCCATTGATTAATATGTCCCCTGTTCATACAAGTTTCTTATCTATATGTCTTTTTCCCCCTTGCACCTTATTTGTTGAAAAATGGGATCGTCCCATGCAATTTCCCGTGGTCCAGATATTGTTGTCATTTATCTTACTTGTCTGCAGACTGGTCACTGGATCTAGAGTGTTATTCTTATTTAGGTTTGAAATATATACGTTTGTAAACACACACAGTACTTTTTTTTTTGCCAGGGATACTACTTGAGAGAGCAATGTGGTGAATTTTTTCAGGAGGCCCTTCATTACTGGTTGTCTCTGGTGTTACTAGGCATTGTTAATTAACTACATTCACTATAGCCCATAAAATGGTGATATTTTGCTTTTATCCTCTTTTATTAACTAAGATATTTCTATAAAGAAAAGCACCCCTTGATCAACTGTTACCTGAAGTACAGTTTATACAGAAGAAAAAGAACAAATATGTTTGCCAGCATTAAACAATAAGCTTGCTTCCTTACATCCTTTAGAGGTGGCCCATTGAGGCGTTTATATATGTGCTTGGGAATAATCATAAACTCATGGATTTTTTCATGTCTTTTATGTTTCAATCCTGGCAGTTACTGTTCTTCTAATTGGTCATATATTTCACCATCTTTGGTCTGTGAGCATGTCTTCAGGGTTCCTTTTGAGTCCTTGTAACATTATCCCAGGAATCTTTTACAGCTTCTTTCTTTGTAGATTTGTGTACTTTTCCTGGCCTAGATCTGTAATAAGACACTTTTCCACAGAGTCTTGATACTTTTAGTGGGAAACAGAGTTAAAAAAAAAAAAAAACAAGCTGGGGATTTAGGTCAGTGGTTTGGCCGCCTGCTGTGCAAATGCAAGGACCCGAGTTCAATCCCCGGTACCAAAACAAACAACAACAACAACAACAAAAAACCATAATCCAGGTAGGTGTCTCAATGCCTGGGATCCAAGGATACACATTGCTTCTGAGTTAGCCATTACTTTTAGGCTTTTTTAGTAAACAGCTAGTAAATTCATGCATATAATGTTAACTAAATGCAAAATATGACATAACTTCATATGGATTGATTCAACTCATATTTAGGACCACAGGGTGTTTACTTAACTTGTATCTATAACTCCCCAGTCCCTTCTCGAAAGTCCCAATTCTCAGTGACATTTGCTTTATTCTGAAGTACTCCCAGATTCTTAGAATAGCAATGCGAGCAGTCACACCACAGTAATGAAAACAGGTAACCTGTTACACTGATTATTTTTGCAGTTCTTTTAGTGTTTGCTGAAGATCTGTGTACATAGTACTGTTCTGTAAAGTCACTGGTCATTTCAGTTTACTAATACTACCCACTTAGTTCATTGTTAAGTTTGTTTCATTTTGCAGTCAGTGTTTAAGAATACTCTCTTTAAATTTAATTTTGTTTTATACTTTTCTAAAATCTTTACATTTTCTGTGGTGTGCTAATAGCTAGCCTGGGGTTGAATGCAAAGTGTTTACTTAATGGTATGATGTAAATCCAGCCACCATGTCCATTTTCAAGCTACCAAGGTGTAGAGTAAGCTGGCTCACCAAACACCATGAGCCAGTATAAGCCAGCTCCAGCATACACTACATATTTTCTAGTCATATTTATAAAATAAGGAATATTCAGAAAAGTCTAGCTTTTATTATTAACCTAATTGAACTCTCTGTTTCATCATCTTTCTATACGCAACCATTGTTTAGTGTTTTCAGTTTTTATCCTTTTATTGTTAATACATGTTAATCCTACCATATTTCTTGGATAAATGGCACCATAATATACGCAATTATTTTACTCTTTTTTTTTTTCAGTACTGGCGATTGAACTCAGGACCTTTGCACTGAGCGACTTCCCCAGCCCTTTTTAAATTTTTTTTTTTTAAATTTGAGACAGGGTCTTATTAAGTCACTAACTTGCCCAGAGTGGGCTCAGACTTTCAATCCTCCTGCCTC